CCCCAAAACCCCAAAACCCCAAAACCCCGTTAGAAAAATCCATTTTAAAACTAACTAGAAATAGATGTTAATAAAAATATAAAATGATATGATAATAATAATTATAAAAATGAATATCTTGTATTACAAATCAGGGTCAATAAATTTGCCGCATTGTGAAGACTCCGACAACTCAGATGATGAGCATTTTATCAGCATTGGAGCAGACTCAAATAAAAAAGGCCATATGATAGATGTATATGTATCTCTTATATCAGATATAGAGAGTAAAATGATTGTAAATATAAATTAACTGTAAGTATTCTATTTATCACCTTAGTACTTTCAAAAACATCAGCTTTAATGTATTATTATAATTGACAATAATCAATAGAGAAAGTATGAAGACATTCTTATTATATCTAAATGAAAATTTGGAGTAAAAGTATGAATACCTTAGAGGTCTGAGTGGCTTGCAGGCAATAGAGCTTAAAAAGGTTAATTATTCCCTGACTAAAAAGAATTAAAGCTCATCAAATCCATTGAAATACCCTTAGATCCCCGTATCTACTGAAGGAATTATATAAGAATATCTCAAAGCTAATGATCACATTATTTGCGATGTGGACTCATTGGATTTTTGGATCAAGTTCAGAATAACCATGGATTCCCAATTTTCAACTTTAGATGGAATGCTTGAGCTCAGGATTGAAAAATCAATGACTGGTTAAACATTCAACAGCATAGCACAGAAATTATGCATTCAACTTTGGAAATAATACTGCCTGGATGCGCCGAAGCATAAAGATCAGAAATATGTATTGACTTTTTTCCGAGTTGCTATTGATAGAAGGGCTAATTCTATTATTAAGCATAAAGTTGATTAATCAGGTCACATCATTTCCCCGAAAAATAAGAAAAACAATAGAAGAACTTAAAGAGGCGATTTTCATCATGATATCCTTCCAGATAGCAAAATGAGTGATATCTTCCAATACCTCGACAATAATGTGAAAGTTAAATGCACCTTTTAATCTATAAAATAGATTTATCAAGAACAATTTCCTATAGAAAATGTTGCTGGAAGTACCCTTAAATCTGATGTAAACAGCCTAAAGTAATCAATGAAGACAGAAAAATAGAATGATTCTTTAAAAAATAAGACCCCAAAATCATAGTCAAGTATAGCTGGCAATTCAGATAACAGCAGCAAGAAGAATTCAAGGAAAAATAGAAATACAAGACTTAAATCACTATTAGTAGTGAATGACAGATAGTCTGAGGAGATTAAAGAAGAATGGACTGATTAGGAGTTGCTTCTATCAAAGACACTTCCAAAGGACTAGATGCACTTGTTGAAGAGCGTAAGACTTCCAAGTTTAGTAGATAAAAATTAATTAGATACCAAGGAAAATCAATTCGATACCAAAGAAAATCAATTTGAAAATAGTCTTAGCACAAGATTTAATGTTTTATAAACTGATCTCGAGACCTAAGGTTATAATTCATCTCCAATGAATAAGAAATTAGAGTTTCGAGAATAGCGAAATAATCCAGCGACTTTTCAATAGAATGATTACTTATTGACTCATTCAAGTTCAATAGTGTTCTAAAATTATGAGGAGGGAAGAACAACTATTATCAAACGAAAATCACCAAGGCCCTCTAAGATTGAGGCAGATATGGATTTCGGTGAGTAAGCTTAATAAAATCATGGAGTCAATCATGCTTTTGGGAATATTATTTTACCTAAGACAAGAGCAGAAGAGAATCAATTAACTGAAATGAGTATTTATTTAGATACTTAGCAAACTATAGAGCCAGAACCCCTCTAAGTTCAATAATAAAACAGAAACATCAAGCTTGAATAGATCTAAGAGGAGGAAGATAGTGTCTCTTAAGCTCATTCAAATCCACAGTCTCCGGAGTTTAAAAGTAGAGCATCGTCGACATAATAAGAAATATTTGACAGAGGACTAATGTTCAGAAATTACTTTAAAAATGAATTGAATGTTAAGAAATAAAAGAATTAGATTGCCATCAGTATTAATGGCGACTCTAAAATCTAGTTTTTGACAACCCTTTAATCCAAGGAAGAAAGTCATAGAATTAGAACTTTAAATATTCCTATAAATTCTAGCTTGACTACCAGTCAAAGTCTTATTGGTGAACATGGATAGTTAAATTCTTCAGGAATGTAGGGAAGTATGAGTGAAAGTGATAGAAATGGAAACTATCCTTTTGAGAAGAAATCCATAGGAAAACTAGAATAAGAAATCGAGGCTAAAATTTCACTCAATCGAGAGCAAATCAGAAAGTTAAGCTAAAGTTTTGCTACAGTAGGATCTGAACGGACATCAAGTGAAGTTAGTTATATGAAAGAACCTCTACTCAAGCAATTTTCAGATTTTAATCCTATAAATACATCTGACGACGATAACATTCTAAGACCAAAGATAAGATTAGTTAACCAATAGAATCTTGGAAAAATCGAATCCTAAGCGAATTTAAACAATCAAAGAAAATAAGACTTAGGGGCTTTTCTTTCAGTGCCTGCTGTAAGTCTTACTACTCCTTAGAATAACAGCAAGAAGGCTTCTATATTTGGTAATCTAATCAACATAATTAGAGGTACCCCTAGAGCATAAGCTGGAAATAAGAAATTTATGAAATTTGGGGAATAAGATATTGAGATAAGTGAGGAGGAAATGATTAATAAAATACGATTGCCTGAATTCTTGCTCTCCTTTGAAGAATTCCAAATTATCAAAATACCAGCAATGAAAAATTTCACATATAAGGAGCGTGATCAGAGCGATAGATCAGATAGCTTGATCGATAATATCTTACTGTCAGATTAGTATCTTATGAAACAAAAAGCCAAGAAAAGAAACATCCTTGTAATTATTATCATTCTTTTAGTTGTTGCTGCTCTTGTCACTGGGATAGTCTTTTTGATTAAAAAATGATCAAATAAAATATATAAAATATTAAACTTAGATTTGCTCTAATATCTTATGAATTTACTAAAATTGAAATATTAAGTATAATCTTAGAATACGGGGTTTTGGGGTTTTGGGGTTTTGGGG